TGACTAGAATCGGTTGGCGTGGGCTGTCCGTCCGTACGGTGGAATCGGGTCCTAAATGACACCCGAGCCGAAGCCTGGTCCCATGTACCGGCAGGCGCCAGCATATGAGACGGTGCGGCATCCACCTCCGTCAAACAAAACAGACAAACAGCTGAATCCTACTGGACTTGCCGTGTTCGTCGGGAGTTGGTCCAGCTGAGGCCCGGTGACAGGGGCTCGGTAGTATGAGGATTCCCATCCTGGAAATCGGACCCGAGGTCGAGCCCACAGAAAATCCCGAAGCTAGGCCTGCGCCGCGGCCCCCTAATTCGACCGTGTTTTTGGTGTGTGGCTTGGGCGTAGCACGGCGGGCTGGACTGCCGACCGCCGACCGTTCCCTTGGATTTTGACACGCCAAAGTCTGCCGATCACGGATTTTGTTGTGGCTTTGTTCGTCCGGTCGGTTGGTGTTCCCCGCGTATTCAGAGGGAACCGCTGCAAACTTTGGCATGATTCATTATCAGATGGCCGTTTCGATACGCCGCTCATGATATCCTACGGGCCGCATTACCGCTGAGTCATCTTATTTGACCGCACGCTTGGGCAACTATCGCCGTGTTCTTCCTTTATGACGTTGATTGGTTGAGTGGTTCGAATTCGGGAACTGTGCTCTCCGGTAAATGCTGCCCACTGAGCTGCTGCCTTGATCAACGGAGTCCATAGTCGGCGAGATTGCAAGACGCGTCAGCGATACACTTTGAACCTCGACATCTCGGGCATCATTTTGTCCCGAATAGTGATGCATCTATGTAAGAACACTCCGTGGTGGCTTTGCTGTGGGTGTCGACATGTTGACAAGCTGACGTGGGCACTGATCAGATGTGTCTTTCTTGTCCAATAGTTGTTCAAAAGGTGACAAGAACCAAGAACGACGCCTCGCTACATCATTTCGAAATGTCAAGCAACATGTTGCCAGTTTTGGTTGCTTGTGGATTGTTGCGTTGGCTGCAGCTGCCTACCATCTGGCCCCACACCGAAACTCCACCAGGTCATACACCTCGGTGAGCTGAGGTGAGGCCAAATCCTCGGTCCGGAAAAACCAAAGCGCCAGCTATCCCCCAAACCGCGGGCCTCACATTTTGTCCTTCCACCACCAAACACCCGCGCGATCGCGACAAGCTGCCTAGCCGACCTCCCAATCCACCAACCCCCACAACAGCTTCACCCCTCTCCGACCGCAATAATGACTTCCACAATCGGCATCCCCATCAAGCTCCTCAATGAGGCTCAGGTACATTGATCCAAGTCCCCCACAGAAAGAAGGAACAACATACCTAACCAAGCGCGCGGAACAGGGCCACATCGTCACCCTCGAAATCACCTCGGGCCAAACCTACCGCGGCAAGCTCCTCGAAGGCATGTTTCTCCCCCCATATTCCCACTCTATATGCGCAGAACCCAATTGCTAACATCCCACCGCCATTCAGCCGAGGACAACATGAACGTCCAGCTCAAGGACATCACCGTCACCGCCCGCGACGGCCGCGTCTCCCACCTCGACCAGGTCTACATCCGCGGCTCCCACGTCCGCTTCTTCATCGTCCCCGACATGCTCCGCAACGCACCCATGTTCCGCTCCCGTAACGTCCGCGGCCGCGGTGTCGGTATGGCTCGTGGTCGCGCGACTGTCAGCAGGGCCCGCGCCAGTGGTCGTGGAGGCAGGTAAACAGCAGAACCTGTTTGGGTTTGACGGGACTTTCTGGTGGCCGATTTTCTGTGCAGAGCGCTGTCCCGGTGGTCCGTGTAGAGGAATCGAGCCACGAACTGGCGCTGCCGATGGCGCCCGGTACTTTCCGCACGAGCATGAGAAACAACACGCGTACCGGAGGAACTTTTTGATTCGAGCAGAAGAAGGGCAAGGCAGTCTGAGCAAAGGAAAAGCGGGCGGAACTCCAACACACCAATCTCGAAGAGAAAAAAGTTCACGGCGTTTTACGGTTTCTGGGTTCTGAACAAGGGGCTACGCAAGAGTGATTATATAGGGGATGACGTCAGGAGGAGAAGTAACGATACCATTCAACCAAAGGCTTTCTAGAAGAGGGATACAGCGGTTTGCTAGGGTAGGCCTCACTCTGAGCCGTTCATACACTCAAGCTACAATCCGCTGACAGACCAGCCAAGATGAGAGACTCAATGCCGGAATATGATTGCCAAATAAGAGATGCCTCTCGCAACGCAAAAATCACCGGCTAAGGTGCCCTTACTGGGCTTCGTACTGTTTCAACTCTGTGGATGGGCTATGAAACTTCCTCAACGTGAAAGTGCATTAACAACGTGTACTACTTCTGGCCAACTTTCTCCTCCAAAAGCGGCCCATACCACGCGTGCTGCTGACAGACAGTCGTTTTATGGAATTTGGAAGAGCTTTTGTCGTGTTTTGTCTATGGTGACTTTTGTGTTTTATACATTATACAGATGGTGGTACAACGTGATCGCAAAACCAAGAGCCCCTCCTCACTCGAGACGCTTCAGCGCGTCCTCGGCCTTCTCCACCAGCTCCTTGGCCTTGCGCAGCTCCTCCTCGCCCTCGATCGGCGTATCCCTCGGCGTGTCTAGCGATTCCACAACACTCTGCTCGACCGCCCTGACCGCCTTGCGGCCCTCCTCGCGCACCTCGCCCTCCCAGTACGTCCGTGCCGTTTCCCACTTCTTCTGTAGGTTGCGAAGGCTCCACATGATGCCGAGCGCCGCCACGGCGCCCGCCTCGTAGATCGAACCCGCGTACTGCGAGACGTAGAGGAGGCCCGCGAGCGCGCCCGTCAGCGCCGAGGTACTCGACGCCTGCAGCACAAGCTTCTGTGCGAGGGCCTGTAGCGCGGGGACGGTCTCCTCGTGGAGGTAGCGGCGGGTGAAGGAGATGTGCGTGGGCCACTTTGGCGTGCGGCTCGTGATTTTCGTGATTGTCTTGGTCTCTGGCTGCGGCTGCAGCTCGGATGTTGGTTGGGTGTAGGTGGGCGCCTCGATGGCGGGCACGACGCCAGACTCGGCGATGCGGCCGGCGAGGAAGACGAGCTCGCGCTCAGCGCCAGGGAGGAACCGCTGGTTGAGCATGTCGGAGGTGAGGACGCCAACGTCGTCTACGCGCCAGAAGAGCTTCCACCAGCCCAGCTTGCGCCATCTTGTGCCTGCGAACGCGAGGTCAAGCTGTTGCTGTAGCTCCTCATGCGCGAATTGTGACCACTCCGCCAGCCGCTCGTTCATGACTGCCAACTTGGGCGAAGCAACCTCTGCTGATAGCCGTCCAGACGTAAGGCGTGCCTGCTCGGCCTCGATCTCCGCGAGTGCGTTGCGCAGTAGAGAGGCGATGTGCGTCTTGACAACCGGCTTCGTAGCTCCCCCTGCGTTGTTCTCCACCCCGGCCTTCAGCCACTCGACAAAGGCGGGCACATTGCTCTTGTACCACGCCCGCTCATACTCCATCGCATTACCAATGTTCTCTCGGATGCGATCAAGACCCTTGCTGCCGACACTCACATCAATGGGCTGGAACGCAAGCTGCTCGCCTTCCTCAACCGGGTACTTTGGTAAGTTCACCGCCGCGAGGACGGAATCACGGTACTCCGCCAACGGCAACGCCGCCACAGCCGCGGCGCCCATGATCCCCTCCGACACAACAATAGCCTTGTGCACCGGGGTAGTCACAGGGGTGTACCGCCCCGAGCTCGACTGGATGTCAACAGTCGGCACCAAAACAGCCTGCTCCACATCCATCACCGCCGCCGCCTGCCCAGCCGCCGCCGCCGACGCAGAAAGAGGATTCACCTCCATCAGCAGCAGCTCCACCCCGCACCCATTCAACGCAGGCGACGACACATCCAGCTCGTGCAGCAGATTCGTCTTGGATATCGTCAGCGTAGTGCCCTTCCCCTCGTCGCCCTTGGCCTCGCCGACCCGCACGACAAGCGGCTGCGTCGTGTCATGGCCCTTCACGGCCCTCTCCCACTCCGCCTCGTCGCCCAGCGGGTCCGCGAGCAGCACCCTCAAGAGCTCCCTCGCCGTCTTCCCGGGTTCACCTGCGCCGTCCGCCAGGGCGAGGATCGCGACGCGCACGTTCTCGTGCCCGGGTTCCTGGCGCAGGCCCTGCAGCGCGAGTTGCAGACGGGACAGGTTGACGTGGTTGACGGCGTGCTTCTGCAGCTCGAGCAGGACGTCGATCAGCTCCGACCGCGCATTTTGAGCGGCGACGCCGCTGCTGCTTGCCGAGGAGTGGATCGCGTGCGTGGAGGATTGGAAGTACCGGCGCTGCTTCGAGGGTCCCCGTCGAGTGTTGCTGGTTGTGCGTCGTGAAGGTGTCGGAGGAGCTGTGGAGAGCGAGCAGAACAGGCATACTGCGGGCGCCGAGGGTTGCTGCTTGCCTGCGGCGAGGGAAGCCGCCCGGCCGGCGATTGGCCTCAGTGACACTCGTGGTGGCATTTCGTGGGAGGCATAGGGTAAAGGGGTGAAGATGTGTCCTTACCCTGCCTATGTGTGGTGCAACTTTTCCCGCAGAAAAGAGGTTGCGTTGGGAGGTTGCTGCCGGGATAAACGGGTGAGGTCGGCCCAGGGCAGAAAAAGGTGCAGCAGTCGGGTTGTGGTGGACAAAGCTCCAAAAATGCTTCGCAGCAGCGGCTGCCGACCCAAGCTCCGATTTGCACGCGCATCACCGGGGGGCAAAACCTCGGGGAATTACGTGCCTACTGCTGCTAGCACCGAACCTGGAGCCACGGGGGCCCACCCCCGCCAACCTCCCAGCTGCCGACGCACCGACAATCGCTCACTCCATGACAACAGCACCCATCCCGACGATTGTGTAAGTCGAACGGTGTCTTCAAACCCAAAAGACGGCCCGGCACAATCTTCACCCAAACACACACCTCTACACGACCAGACCCCTTCCTCAACGGCTCTCTCTCCCCCTTCATTCCTCGCTGCGACAGCACACCGCATACCTCTACCCCTCCCCCGGCTCATCCGCGGACACAATGGCCCAATCAACCGCCCACCGCCGCCTCCTCCAGGAATACCGCGCCCTGACGAACAACCCGCCGGAGGGCATCACCGCCGGCCCCGTTTCCGAGGACGACCTCCTCCAGTGGGAGGCTCTGATCCAGGGCCCCGAGGGCACCCCCTTCGAGGGCGGCGTCTTCCCTGCCGAGCTCAAGTTCCCCAAGGACTACCCCCTCGCCCCGCCGACGATGAAGTTCCTCGTCGACATGTGGCACCCCAACAGTGAGTCGCATCACATCCTCGTCTGCTTCCTCGTCCTTCCTTCTCCGAGCCACGACGCAATACAATGATAAATGGAAGCTAACCCCGCAAAAGTCTACCCCAGCGGCCTCGTCTGCATCTCCATCCTCCACCCGCCCGGCGACGACCCGAACCACTACGAGCACGCCTCCGAGCGCTGGTCCCCCATCCAGTCCGTCGAGAAGATCCTCATCTCCGTCATGAGCATGCTCGCCGAGCCCAACGACGAAAGCCCCGCCAACGTCGAGGCCGCCAAGATGTGGCGCGAGCGCCGCGGCGAATACGAGCAAAAGGTCCGCGACGGCGTCAGGCGCTCTCTGGGTTTGTAAAACCGACCTGTATCCATGACGAGGGTAATATAAGACTACGAGTGAATCCGCGGAGGGGAGAGAAGCTGGTCTGCCGAGAAGAAGGGGGTTAATCCGGTCACAGAGGTTGTAGACATCTGGTAGAGAGACGCTACTACTACTTTGCATAGCACGGCGTTTGGGGAAATCGAAATATTCGCTTTGTTCACTTCTATATTTCATGCTTTAATTACGGCAGAGAGAAGGAGTCCATGCGCTCCTTTGCCGTGGGCAAATGTCGCGCTAACGATGACAGCTATGTGATAATGATGATCATGATGAAGATGGTTACAGCCCGTTCTCGGACTTGAACTTGTCCCAGCTCTCGTTCAGGGTCGCAAACACCGTTGCGGCGATGAGTCTGACCTCCGTGCTGGCGTCTTGGGGGAGCTGCGCACATGCAATTAGAAATCAACCCCTCAACAAGCTAGAAACAGAATACGACATACCTTGTCGGGATGGCACTTGGCAATGGCCTTCATGTAGTTGATCTTGACCTTGTTCGCCATGACGAGCTCGTGTAATCCCACCTTCTTCCACCCACTGCCCTCCCAGAGCACCTGGTCCAGGCTGCCAATGAGAGCGCGCAGGTTATCCCTCTTGCCGTCCCTCCACGCCGCAATCTTAGCATCGACCTTCTCCGACAGCGCAAACTTCTCATCGTCCTCCGCAGCGGCCGCCTGGTTCTGCTTACGCAACCGGTCAACTGCCTCAGAGCTCTTGGCCGGGGTAGCCGCCGGGCGGGGCCGCGCAGGAGCAGCTGCGGGCCTGGGCTTCGGCTTCGGCTTCGGCGCCAGGGCATTCTGGCATCGTTGACGGCCGGAGATGGCCGTGGCGCCGCCGACGCCGTTCTTGACGCAGGTCGACCACACAGCGTGCGCGTCGCCCCAGCGCTCCATCTGCTCAAGGGCCTCGGCCTTGCGGCTGAGCGCCTTGCCGTAGAGGTCGCGCATGTCGCGCTTCTCGTCGCCGCCGTTGTCGCCCACGACGGACACCTGTTCGCCCTGGCCGCCGCCGGGTCCGATGATCTTGAGCGCGGAGTCGGCGTCTTCGACGGCTTGTTTCGGCTCGCCCGTCTTGAGAGCCGTCAAGGCACGGTTGGTGAGGATGACGATCGCCAGGGGGTGGGATGCTGGTACAGCAGACAAGGACGACGAGTATGAGGAATGAGCAGCGGCATAGTCACCACGCTTGAAGTGAGCTGTTCCATCGAGGCGGTGATTCGTGGATTGCTGTATGGCTGCTGGGGTAATGGGTGGGATCTGGCGCGCAGGCCGGGGAGCTGGCTTGGGCGAAGGGGGACGTCTGGGTGCTTGGACAGGCTGCGAGGGTTGCGCGGGCCGCTGCTGCTGTGGCTTCGGCTGCGACTGAACGGGTCTTGATGCTGGGGCTTGGGAGTTGAACAGCAGATCCGGCTCCTCCTGCTTTGGCGGTGCTTCTTCAGGCTGAGGGGTAGCCTTCTTCCTTCTATGCGGACTAACATACGACGCTGCACTGTCATCTGCCATGGCCAGCTTGCTTGCGCGCGTTCTCGAATCGGGCACCGCCGGACCAGCCTGCTGCTGCCACTTCGGAACTGGAGTACCTCTGCCGCTTGATGGTGCCGAGGCTGCGGGGGAGAAGTCCCTTGGCGAAGCAGTTCGGTGAGGGGGCTCCGGTCTCGATGACTGCGACGACTGGCCAGCTTTCCTGGGTGGACGGCCACCGGACTCCAACATCATCGCCTCGTCCGTAGCTTCCACGCGTCGCTTCTCGGGAGCCTGAGTACGGTCTTGCTGCGCGGAGCGCATCCACTTGGGCTGGTTCGGGTCGCCTCCCTCCTGGTTGAACTCCGCGACAGCCTGCTGCATCTGTTTTTTGCCGGTCTTCCAGAGGGAGTTGGCAGTCTTGAACAGACTGCTGCCCACAGCAGCGGCAGTCTTGGAGAAGTCTGGTTCACCGCTGGCTGGCGACCGTGTGTCGGCTCTCCGCTGACTATCATGCCTTCCATCCTCCCGTCCTCTTCTCGACGCTGCCGCGGGGTCCTTGCCCTGAGCCTTGGCCTTGGCCTGACGATGAGCATCATCCAGAAGCCAGTTCGCCGCCGCCTGCACATTCAACCCCGCACCACTCTCCGTCAGACCCCGCCTCGCGTTCTCAGGGGTGAAGCCGTAGTCCACAAGCTGGGCGACAGCCTTATCAAACTCGGCCATCTCGCCGCGCGGGGCGGGCTGCTCGTCGTCGGAGCTGGAATCAGACGCCTCAATCGGCTTTCCAGGTTCAGGCCGCTTGGGCTCGGGAGGTGGTGGCTGCTTGCGACGGACCTCCTCAACAGGTCGGCCCAGGTCACCGAGGAAATCGTCGTCGTCGGCCGGCAGAGGCGGAGCGGGTGAGGAAGCCTTGGGTTTGAGCTGGTTCAATCCGAACGGGTCATCGTCGTCTCCGAAGCCACCATTGTTTGCAGGGGCAGCAGGCTTGTTCCATGCGCTCGGATTACTGAGATCCAACGCAGGCGTTTGCGCCAGTGCGGGCGAGGGGCTCTTTTGAGGCGGCGGTGGGTAGTGACTGGCATTGTCAACCTTTGTATCCGCGTTGAAAGCCGCAAAGAGATCTTCGTCGTCGCTGGCCTTCTTGCCGGTAGACGAGCCAGGGGACAGGATGCCCGGTGACGTAGTCCGTGACACGGAGCCCGAGCCGAGAGTGTCCAGGAATCCTCCTCCGAACTGCGCCTGCGCCTGCTTCCTTCGCTCCTCCTCCTTCTTTCTCTTTTCGGCCTCGAGTCGCTGCTGCTGCTCGCGCAAGCTCAGGTTGGCGGTCGACTTTGGCGGGCCACCGGCGAAGTTCATCAGGTTGCTGAAGCTGTCGCCCGCCGGCTTCGCGGCCGGGGGTTGAGCTGCGGCGGGGACAGCTCCGGAACCTTGGGCGGACAATGGCGTGTTGCGGCCGGAGGGGAACGGGGATGGCGTCGAGGCCGTCGTCTGTCGCATGGGCATGGAGCCAAAGTAGTTGGCGCCTGAGGGGTTCATCGGCGGCGCCTTGTTGCCAGGCTTGCTGGCCGACGACGACGACCAGTCCAATCCCGAGAGATCATCCATCTTGACGTGCTGGGAGTGTTCGAGGTGCAATCGTTCATGTCATCAATTTCGTGAGGTCGTGAGGGCGTCAAGGAGAGCTCAATGCATCGTTTTCGGATTGTTTCTAGACTTCGATTGTCTCGCCCTTGTCCCCTGGATCGGGCCTGGCTGATTGCGGTGTCGTGTGGACGTAGGTGGCATGTGGCACTGTGGCTGAAGCTTGGGGGACTGTGGCTTTACGGAGGCTTGAGCTTCGGCCTGAGATGGCGCAACATTCTCAGGCACCAATCTCTCTCGGCGTTACCAGCATCGGTGTTAAGACTCGATGCTGCCCCTCGCACGGCCCATGAGATTTCACAGAGTACGGCTGGCGCCGAAAGTAAAAAAGGGGTAAACAATTTCATCCGTGTGGGATCATCGCTGCTGTCACATCTCGATTCCCAAATTGCCTCGCTCATCCCGAGCACCTGTCTGGAGAATCTCTCGCGAGTCGCGGGGAAACCCTTTACACTGAACGACGCCGTCAGCCCCATCGCATGAAAGCATTATCCGCCCTCCGAACCACAGCCACTCCCAACACGGCGCACCGGATCGTTTCTGTTTAGTGGTGTTTGTATTCCAGAAGGCGCAGTCGAGTTCGCCATGGAGATCACACAATGCATGTCTGAGCTACGATGATCCCATGGAGTGGTGGCTCCGGGCACTAGCCACTTCACTTCAGGCTGGTCGCCTGAGACTGGCGGCGGTCAGAAGGGTGATGATGCAGCTCAATCACTTCGAAACCCCGGGCCTTCAGGCCATTGCCGCCGTAAGACTGAATTGCGGCACAATCGGCCGAAAAGTGCCGCGCAAATCTGGGTCTCTGTCGAGAAGCAATTCCTCCGCAAATGCCAAAGGCTACTCCCCTCCGGTTGTCGAATCTCCTGAATGGACCTTGCTGATGAAGATTACCAAAAGTCATCTCGAATGCCAAGGGCATAGTGCACACTCACTGGTGGGCACGACGATGGGCGGATGTTGCTTGCCGGGTGGGAAGCCGGCCGGACTGTCATTCAAATGACGCGGGTCGGACTAACTGTCAGACGGGGCGCGATGGAAGTGTTACGTGGTATGGCTTGACGAGCGACGTCGCACGCGGAATAAAGTCCGTTTCATCATTAACAACGGCCAGTCAATATCACAGCACTTATCTGTCTGCTGATGGCAAGCCGGTCTGAGATGAGCACCAAGCAGAGGCGGGAGCGTGCAATCACTCTAGCGTTGGGTATTGGGCAAATGCCTCTTCCTTCCGCAACGTAGAGTGTGATATCAAGAGGGATCCGAGATATGCGTTGAAAGGCTCAAGGGACTCTTCTTGGCTTTCGTCTGGTACATGACAGCAAACAACTGTTTCGATGTAAGAGAAACAAGCACTCTCTCTAAGGTTAATATTTGACTCTCAGAGGCAGGTTGTTCAAACGTAGCTGTTTGGCTGGCAGCGCAAACGGCGGGAATTCCTTGCAATAGGCCCTCTGGGGAATGCCAGATGCATTGAACATCAATGGGACGAAAGGCCTTGGCTACTGTGATCGTTTTTGGAACAGTTCGGATGATTGGCGCATTGCCCCCGTTAGCGAAGGGCTGAAACTCGTTTCGAATATCGAGGGCTGGGGTCATCCCTGGAGGTGGGCGATCAGGGGAAAAGGCTGAGCGCGAAGCTGTCAGGCTGAATGCTGAATCGCGGGACGCTGCTAAAATTGCTGTGTCCACGTCAGTCTGGATATCCAAGAATGGCACCCCTGATAGTCCAGATAGTGATAATCCCGAACGCGACTCGCGGTTGATCAGCGGCGACGACATTACTGACGATGGAGAAAAGCTTCGCTGGGGACAATATCTGTCGCACCTGTAAGACACGCTCTTCGTATAAGCAACGGTATCAGACCATCG